GCTGCCATCAGTCCAAGAGAATAACATCGGTAACTGCCGGATTATCTGTCGATACTTCCTTCTCCGTACGATTACGCTGATAGCACTTTCGTGTAATCAACAGGAAATCATCCTAGAACATTATCAGAAGGACTCTCGGATTCTTATATTCGTCGATAAACTTCATCATAAAAGCTGTCTCTCTATTAGACAACACGTAAAGAATCGATGTCAACCAAAAGTATAATATAACTATCTCTCGCCCTTGTCACGCTTCAGTGTTAAGTGTGGTTTAAATTCTGAGGTATGATCGAAAATAAAAAAAAAATCATCATTAATGAAAAAAAAACATCATTAATGAAAAAAAACATTATTAATGAAAAAAACAAATAAAGTAACGGACCGTGAAAACCACATTATATATGGCTATAGTTATAGGCAATAGTTTTTGAGATCATTGCAAAAATACACACAGACAGATGTGACTGAGGCCTTTCTTTTGTGTAATAACAATTATTTAAAAAAATATAGAACATTAACTTTATTTTAAGCAGATTTTGAGGAGCTCGATGGCGCAGTTGGTTAGCGCTTTCGGTTGGCGATCTTGGTAATAAAACAACTTTCGCAATGGTCACTCATTGGATGGGTCAAAAACTTATTATTTCGAGCTTCTTTGTACTTCGAAAGACACGTTAAGCTGTTAGCTGGCCTGGCTGCATCTGCAATTAATAGCACCTACACATCCACATTGAGCCCGCGTAGTGGGTTACGACTATCCATCCATCCATGGGTAAGGCCTGTGCCCCAGAATTGTGGACATTAATAGGCTGATGAGGATACCTTTATTTAGTGAGCCAATAGTTAAAAATGCATGGACTAGCTTTAATCAGTGAGAAATATTATCATAGAGATTTACACGCTTCAATAAGAATCGTAATTTTAGACATAGTAAAACTAGGGATGAAGCAATGTTTCCCGATCCAACATATTCAAAATGTGTACGATATCAACACAATAATAATAATATTCAAGTTGTCTTTTCAACTAGGCCACTTCTATATTTTTTTTACCGGATTGTTTAAATAAATGCTTTCTTTGGCACTTTTGTCAATAAATATTGTGTTACTTAGTTCGAAGACACTAGTATTAATATAACTTATAATTATTATTTTTGGCAAATGTTTTTTTTTATAAACAATAAAAAGACTTATTGCTACAATAAAAACACAAATAAGTAAATATTATGTAGTATAATTATTGGCTTAAGAATCAAGTTTTAGTTCTTCTTGTGACATAAGATGAAAGATGTTGACTAATGAGCAAAACTTTAACTGAAATAATTCACAATAAAATTTTACTAGAAAAAAATCCAGGCGGACAAGGTAGCAGACGGGAGTCGAACCCTCACCCACTGATAAAGAGGAGTCTTAGATTTAGTTAGAGCCGCGGTAGCATAATGGTCTATGCATCCACCCGGATAGCGGAGGGTGCAGATTCGAGTAAGTCCCGTCTGCTGCCTGGTCCGTGTGGATTTTTTTCTATTAAAATTATCTTTAGATTTGAACATCTTGCAGTTAAATGATTAAAAATATAACTGAAATAATTCATTTTGAAACTTCAGCATCTGAAGTAAATTAAATGTTTGTCCGTAAGAAGTGCGTATTATTACAATATCATATAAGAAGAAGTGGTATTTTTGCATAAGATTAAACTTGTTGAAAGAGTCTTTGTTGAGATTCTTGTCGGTTCTCATCTTTAGCGTGTAATTCTTGAAAGTCTAGCTTAGAAAATAATATCTTTAAATAAGCAATTTTAAAACTAAATTGTTATTACAGTTGGTAACATCAGTTTCGTAACAAAATGACAGTATCATTCAAAAATTACCTAGGAAACATTACAAATTCGTTGCATAAAATAAACAAGACTCAGTAACAAATCTTTCATAACACGTATAATGTCGTATAATTAACAACGATTTTATTACCTGTTTAGAAATTATCATACAATATTTTTACAAGATACGTCGATAAAACTTTGAGCATCTATATTATATAGTTTTATAAAAAGTTCTTCTTTTTAATCACATTTACTTTAGCATTGGAGTATATTGGATACTAAGTTTGTTGAACTTAGTATCAAAATCATTAACACTTGGCGCATTAACAAAAATCATCATAATTTTATAGCTTCTTCAAGAAGTGCTTCTTTAGAAACAAGAAAAACATTGCTCATAATGGAAGTCAAAATTTCCGAAAGAAATTCTCTGCTCTTTTTTATCTAGTACATAAATCCTGAAAAGTCGTAAATATCAACAGAAATACAATCATTCATCATACAAACTCTGTTTCCGAATATAATTACTTCAGAAACATAAAACCGCGATGCGGAATGATAAGTTTGAGACACCGTGAATTCAGCTTTAAAAGTAAACATTAAAGTTAACAAAATTTACATCAACAAAAAATAAAGAAATCAACAGATAAATAAAATAAAATCGACTAAAATTCGTTGTTATAATGATTTAATTTTAGACCCTAATACGAAGCACTCAGACTCTAATTCCTTTGGGTAAAGAAGCATGATCGGTAAGGGATTATATCTGCTTTAAAATGTTGCGATTAATAAAAGAGAACCTTTTAGTACAAGTAGTTGAGTTTTATTTTTATCGACACGAATCTCAATATATTAATCATTATGACATTATTATTATTTTAGCTCTCCCTCAACGAATGTAAATATAGTTACAAATTTTTTTGTGACATAAAACATCGAAATTCAGTGCTTGCTATTTATATAATAATTCTGACATTATTTTATAAGTCACCCGCTGTTTGCTGTATCTTGTCAATATTTTGTATTCTTTGGCACAACAAATTGTTTGATACTATAACAACAATAAGTTAACTAAGACTCGTGACATAAGTTGGTAACCAATATAGTAACATTGGCTTCGTATTGCATCGATGTATATACTAAAATTAAAAAAATACTTTTACAGTTTAACTTTCATAACTGTAACACCTTAAATATAATCCCATTTGACATAGATTGGGGCTAAATTTGTTTTGTTTATAATAAATTTATTGACAACTTCATTAGTTCCTTTAATTTATGTTTCGTTTCCTCTGTCAACTTATCACACATCTTTGCAGTTATAATCGATAATATATTGTTGTACAACTTCTTTCATAATTTTTAAAGCAGCCAACTGTTAAAAGGAGTCTCATTATTTTACTTACAACTTACTAACGTCGCTCGTCAAACGAGAAATATCTTGCATGCTGAAGTTCACCAGAACTCGTTCTCTTAACTCGCATTGCTCCTTGGAGTACAGAAGGAATGTAGAAACTACGTCTCGAATGCTCTATACGACGACGCTGAGTGCAATGACAAAGCGTGCATCCCCTTTGAACCGGAGTATTTTATGAAATAACCTAAAAGGTGCATAGATACAGCAACTTAGCGAATGTTCACACACCAAGTAGTTTCGACATGTCCAATCATTGATATTCGTTTTTATCGCACGATCTGGTATTTGTATTTTACCGATAGCAAGAAAATACGTGCCTTATTACGAAAATGGTTAAGATCATTTCCATTTCATGGGTGTCTTTAGAGGCAGGCAGGTACCTTTTAGCCCAATCAAAAATCAAAAGTATGATAACTAAGTATCGCGACATAATATGTTTTACTGCTTCATTTACATGATATAAAAAACAATACATAGACAGTGACAATAAGAGCAAAATTTAAAACTTAATTTTATTTGACAGCAGACTATAAGTTGTGAGACCAATATCGTATGTCTAAATCGATACAGACATATGCGAACGGTGTCCCACTTTTGTTTCCTCCACTACGGTAATAAATCAAACTGTTTTGTTTATGTTACAGTGGGGAACGCGGTGCGGCCAAACTTTTATGATAATATTGTGTTACAACCTTTTTTCGTGTGGTGACAAAAGTTATTTACTGAAGGAATTTGAGATGTATCACTATTTTTATAAGGTTAATATGAAATACTGACACAAAGCAGTGCTTGACTTTCTGCCTCTGTGATAACTCTTTTGAAAGAATAGGCTTAGATTAATTTTTGTTCAGTACTGAGATCTTCAGAATAGATGTGATAATATGCATCACATCTATTTTAAATACATCGATGAACATAGCTTGTAAGACACTTATTACTTAGTTACGTTTATAATAGAGAGATGTTTGATGGATATATTTTAGGAAGATTTACGAACAATGGGATATGCTTTTGAAAATGTTTAACATTCTCAAATGTCCCTTCTGGTTCTGACCGTATACAAATTGGTATGAGAGCTCATAAGGATGTACCCAATCAGCGTGAGGATGTGTTGATAAGCGAGCCGTCTTCATTTCGTCTCATTGTTATTTTCAACCATCAAGATTTTGTTATTGTAAAATCATAGTTCTTGGCACTAGAAGAAATACTTGATATTCTGATAAATGAAGTAATTACCGATATTAATACCTATAGAAGAACAAACAAAATTACTTATTAAAACAAACATTATTGAATATTTCAGCCTTTCACTTTTAATTTGTCTTTATGTTCTTCATATGGAAATGAAAGTACTAAATGTTAGTAGAATGCCTCATTCTTTAATTAAATGATTTCAAAGGTTGCCAGACATAGAACGGTATTCTAAATTAAACGTGTCTTATATTTTAACTATGATTAAAGATACAAGTGGCGCTTAATATAATATTTATAGAAATATTAATTTAACCATCAGAAGTCAATACTATTTTGAAGTTGTTATAAAAAGAAGTGAATTATTGTTGAATTAATTTTCTTACGCACTTTTTAATGAGTATTACTGATTTTTTTTTATAATTCAACTATTAAAGAAACTATTATTTTAAGCATGAGTACGTTACACGCGAGCTATATTTATTATTCGCCCACCTGCAAGGTCGATTAAAGGTCATAGCAAACAAAGGAACATATTTTTTTTAAATCAATATATAAGATTAAGAAACTCATTTTTGATGGTAGTTCAAATATTATGGTAAAAAAAAATACGGGTGTCGACTCCCAAATAAGAACATTTTGGTGTGTGAACATTACAAGGTGACATTGTTTACCTAACTATGCACAACATATTTCTTACACTGACTTCGCTTACATTCGAATCGACTAGACTTCACTCAAGGCACTGTATTTAGAAAATATATGTACTGATGACAAGCACGATGCTAACACCGCAACGGATACCTCCACGGCTGTTGAGATTGAACCTGCAACAATATTTTATGATACTTTTGACTGCAAATATGTCTAATACTTACTTGTTTCAATACACTCGTCATGGTCTGTCTGTTAAATCCACCCAACACCTTAAATGGATTCTACAGACGCTTAAATCTGAACCTTTATTAAAGGTACTTCAATTATTATCTTTTATTAAATTTTGTTTTCATCTTCGCTAGCTCATATAAATAAAATCATAAATTTTAATACTCTACTTCTTTAAGATATGAACGAAAATGTTTAAGAGTTATGTTATAATGTTTAAGTCCTTTTTAGTGGAAAGTGTAAAAATCCATAACTAGTGTAAATACATATATAAATGTTTTCAACACTCACACCAATTAGCCGAGCCAAAGTAAGCACTGTAAGGCTTGTGTTATGGGATACTAGGGTAACGGATAGAATACATATACTGTACATATATAAGCATATTTATATAGAAATACATAGTACACATCCATGACTGGATTACAAATGCTCGTATTCATCACATAAACTTCTGCCCCCACCGGGATTCCAACCCGGGACCTCTCGAGCCGGCGACACCGAGAAACCCGGCGTATAAACCAGTCGGCCACGGAGGTCGTAAAGACCAAGTAAAACAAAACAATCTTTGATTTTTTTTCCATATTCATCAATCCTGTACTCTAACTTGAAATTCAGTCTATATGGACCTCACCATCATTCAATAGGGCGCAATCTAAAATTTTTGTAAGTAATTAAACTGAGAATTTTATTAAATATTTGATACAATAAGGAGACATGAGAAAATTCTCTGCTCCACTTAACGAGATACAAGCACGTACTATATTGAAAATGAACCTCTTTGTTCTCGTGGATTAAAAATATTCTTCTGTTGTTGTGTATATTATTACGAAGTTATTTTGTAATGTAAATTTTATATTGATGTATGTTTTATTACAATGTGAAAATATTAGCATAATACCTACAGCGTTTGGCATTCACTACATAGTATAGTCCTAGTCCTCATGATTACTCTATCTCTCTATTACAATAATTAGGTTGTGCATAAAATCCTGTGTCTTCAGTGATTCTTAATGCTAAATTTATCAGAAGCAGAGAACGACGAGGTAACATGTACGAACTACCATCAAATTCGCGTTCACTGATTTAGTATAAGACAACCTCATGGAATGTGACTTAACACTAAACCGAGACTTCAGGTATGTGTTAACGCTAACTTACCAGAAGCAGGGAATATCGAGAGATGAGGTGTACGAGCTACTATGCGGCTCGCGTTCGTTGATCTGATGTAAACTGCCCACGCACACGCCACATATGTGGATTCACATCAAAATGAGATCGCAGGCATATGTGTGTTGACTTGCAGGTGCAGGGACCAACTCACCAGAAGTAGTGAATATGAATAGATGAGGTGTATGAGCTACTATAAGACTCGCGTTCGTTGATCTAATTTTAGCTGCCCACTTGGGGTGTATGGTTTCATATCTGAAACTTAAGGTCTATGTGTTGACTATCAGGTGCAGGGACCGACTTACCAGAAGCAGTGAACATAGAGAGATGAGGGGTACGAGCTACTATCAGGCTCGCGTTTGTTGATCTAATATAAGCTGGCCACGTGGGCTGTGTGGCTTCACACCGAACTGAGATCGCAGGTGTGTGTGGGTTAACTCGCAGATGCAGGGACCGCCAGCTGCTTCGCAGGTCGAACTCGTTGGGAAGTGAAACTGAGGTGTTGTTTACCATCCATGGCTCCATCTGGTAGGGTATTAAGTTGAATGTTAAACTATTGCCTATTGACCCGGATGATTTTTTAAGGTCTGTAACGAGGGGAAACGCAAATAGTAGGTAATAATTTTGACCTTTTACTTTTTAGTTAATATATATAAAGGTCTATTTTACTTACTTTAAAACTTACTGATGAATGAAAGCGTTAGTAAAGTAAATTGGATATTTAATTATCATGGACTTCTCAATAACACGTCTTCCTAACGTGAAAGTATGCAAAACATCATTAATTTATCGAATAGATTAAAGCCCACATCACCAGCTGTTCCAACTTCAAAACATAAGAAATTATTAAAAACTGTAATTGACATACAAAACCCTTATAGGGTCTGAATATTATTTCATAAATGCTTGCTTACCCGTTCTGGTTTCCCGTCGATGTACCATATTATGTTGGCTGGTGGCATGGCTAGGCCAGTTGTGCAGTTGAGTATAACGTCTTCCCCTGGTTGCACGATCCCCGGCAAACCTAATATAACTGGGTCTTCTCTCAAAATCACTGCAGATGGAACAAAATATGATACACATTACAAGAAAGAATAGGCAAGGTGACAGAGTCTACTATTTCATATACCCATAATCCAGAAATTACGCCTAGTTAAACGCCACATCAATACAAAATTGAAGAATTATCTGATAGAGTTAAGTTCTTAACAGTCTTTATATATTTTTATTTCAAGCATTTAACTGCTACATGTTTTAATCTTTCATTATAGTAAAATATTCTTAACAATTTGTTTCTTAATATCTGGGACATTGTAGTTCCAAAAGTACCAGAGTGAGTTTGATTACATTTATGCTTGTATTAAGAACGATACGTATGTACGAGAACGAACTATGAATCAAAACACCATGGCGATAATAGTGCAAGTAGTGTCCTTAAAATTGCAGAAGGATATTTTAGTGTAAAGTAATATGTTTCGTGTAGTGTGTGTATATTCTTTGCAGCGTAGTAATGTCCCTCCTGCTGGGGCACAGGCCTTCCCTTTCCCTTTAGGCCACCACGAGGGCCCGCTTTGGATTGGTGTGTATATATCACAACTTGTAAATTGTGAGGTACTCAGTCAAGCATACATAATATAAGATTCGTCATTGCAAACCTTGTTTTGAGTGGCACACGTTTTATTTGAAAAGTTCGCATTTCTTTTTTCTGAATTATGAATACCTGTAAGTCTCAATACAAGGATAGGTTGGCACGCTGAATTATATTGAAAAACTTATATATTTGGTTGAATGTACCGATCAAGAACATGTGAATCAGACTATACAGCTAAACGAATTCACAATACGCAAGATTGATCACTTACACAGGAATAGTATTTATATGAGTCTCCGAAAAGTAGCTAACTACTAATACCTAAGTATTGTAACGGATTCCTTGAACTATTGGTAGGCAATGTTGCTCGCAATTTTGCGTGATGAATGTCGAAAATGAAAAGCTCTATGGTTCAGCAGCTAGTGCGCTCGCTCGATATTATAAAAAATAAGCAACATAAGTTATAGCAGCGATACAATATTTTTTCCTGCTTTAAGGTGAGGCGCTCGTTTTTGGCTGCTTCCGTCGTCGTTAGCACTGAATATATTCTGGACACTTAAAAGTAAAATCATGTTTCTGATCAATAGAGATATTCATAGGATGATGAATGTTTAATATTGGATCACTTTCTTGACGACAGAATCACATAATGAAAACGGGTCATAGCCCACCGCTTATTCCCAGAATTAATCGTTAGGTCTTAACGACTGAGGATAGAATTGGCTAATAGCTTAGTATGATATCTGATGAAGGAGATGCTCGAGCCTTTTTTTTCAATATTTTAATATAAGCAAAATAAAAAGCAGCAGTATTTATAAAATATTACAAAATAATACATTTTGGACATGTATTACACTTTTCTTACCTGCTACGGTCAAATTCTTGGTTTGCTTGACGACCGCAAATCTGGGCCCTTCCGTGGAGACTTCGCAAGTGAACGAGAGGCGGGTATTGTAGGTCTTCGGAAGGACCACGCTGATGGTGCAGCTGTGAAGGTTGCAGGAGCCTCGGGTCACACCGCCACCACTAGTAGTATTGAAAATCCTCGTTGGAGGCTGAAAAGATATGACTCATTAGCTTCGTCATAGGATGCATCATTAGTCTTTAAACTGAAATGGGATCTGCTGAATCACTGGCTATCCCTATGCAATATGTGCATAAATGAAAAAGGGCTATCAACACATGAGCACAGTGCCAATTAAAATAGTGGGTGAAAATGTCAATGTAAACTGTCGATGCAGTCGGGACCAACAGCTCAAGGTAAGTGCAGTCAAGTGCTATAATTTGGGACTAATACCCTTGTAATGTGGTTTTAACATTCGTATTGCAAGTAGGTCGAAATATCCAGATCAATATAGCGTTAAAACGTTATAAATACAAGTCTTTTCAAATGACATTTCTTAATATTAACCTCCTCGCTACCCTTCACGGAGATACAAAATCAAAATTCATTTATACAGTCTAGGCTGTTACAAGCACTTGTGAAGGTCAAGAAGCTACGCCATCGGTTCGCAAAACTACGGTGCGAGAAGAACAGGTAAGAAACTCAGAAGGGATTTTTTCCCCTGTATTGTTATAAACAGAGTCGTCAAGTTGAAAAATGACTGATCATTTAGAATATAGATATATAGTTACAATAAATTTTGGAGTTTACTTTATATTTGGTATAAAGACAGCGGCATCAGATAGGTACCATATTACTGTTATGAAAAATAACTTATACCCATCAAATAATAAATTACAAGAAACACTATGTCCATGCATTACGATAATTTAGATAATCATCAACTTTATAAGAGCCCTTATTCATAAGAGAATTCTTGATCTGAGATTTAAATTTGGTCAGTGAAAGCTCAATCAGATCTTGAGGAAATTTATTAAACAATGCAATACAAGAACCCAGAAATGAACCACTTGATTTTAGGAGTCTAAAACATGGAACTGCAAGCCTGTTCTTAAATCTCGTTTTAAATATAAGGGTTCACTTTTTTTGGAAATGCGTCATAGTTTTTCTTAGATATATTATATTTTCATAAATATATTGTGATGCTAGTGTTAAAATATTAACTTTTTAAACTTTTCTCTGAGAGATAAAAAAACGAAGTGATACCCTTATCACTTGTTTTTTTTATTTATTTTTTTGATCAAAATATTTGCTCTTTAGATGTATTTTTGCTGTCAGTTAACCTTTAACTATGGACGTGCGGTCTCACAGACCGCTTGCAGTTTGTGATTCTTGTGCCCCCCTCTTCCCGTGTATGCCAAACCTATGCCAGCCTCAGTAGCTTCAGTTTTAGTGGCGAAACGACCGTTAAGAGTGAAGTTTACGTCGCTGGCTGAATGTTGAGTGAGTAATTTTGCTTTATATTTTGAGTGCGGTCTATGAGACCGCGCGTCCATGTTTGTGTTATAAATTAACACTGACGGAGATATTGTTTGTTTTAGATTTTGTTTACTAAAATGTCAAAAAACGAAACATAACGTATGTTGGGACTCTGAAAAATAATAAAAGAGAAATACTGAATTTATTTTGGGCACAAATGTCTAGAGAGATTGCTTCAACTTATTCGGATTTACGAACGACAAAACTATGTGCTCTCGTGTGCCAAAGAAGAATAAAGCTGTGCTCTTGATATCATCTATGCTTCGTATAATGCTATTGATGAAGATACCAAGCAACCCGAGATAATATTATTCTATAATTCCACCAAAAGGGGGGTAGATGAAACGGACAAAAAATGATCAATTTATACGAGCAGTCGCCGAACAAGAAGGTGGCCTATGGTGATTTTCCAAAAAGTTCTGGACTTGTGTGGAATTAATGCCTTCACTTTATTCAATCAACTCCAAGACAAAGAACTAGAAAGAGGTAAATGTCTGAAGAAATTAGCACGATCCCTGGTGATTCCACATATTCAAAGACGAGTTGAAAACCCTCATTTGTTAAATAAATTAGTTATGACGCCGAAACGACTTTTGGATTCTGGTATGACAGCCCAAGAGTCACCAAGTGCAAAAAAATACTAATACTACTCGTGTAGGCTGTAAGCAGCCAATATGCTTATAATGTAATTGGCAGTCTTTGCATAGCGGCTTACGCTATGCAAATACTGCCAATAAATAGGACCAAGTTGGGCCCTTGTCGAAATTTTTATATTTAGTTTTGAGAAGATTATGTTAAGTTTTTTATATACTTTGTTCTTTATATTTTATTGTGTAAGAAGTTAAACTATCTAAAAAAGTCATTTTCCTGTGGAAATATACATATAAAGTGATCTCAAGCTAAAAGGTCTCAAAAGTGCCTTTGATTATTATATCCTTAGATTTAGTTTAAAATAAATATTTTTTTCATTAAAATTACATCTTTTATTTACATTTAATAACACTTCTAAGGGATAACAACAAAAAAATATACTATACTTACTCATCAAAATAGAAACCAGCCCGTAAAGATAGCGGTCCGTGAGACCGCACGTCCATAGTAGTGTCACAAAAATGGAACGTCCATAGTTAAAGGTTAATCAATCTTGGGCGTGTTCCAAATCAAAAAAACGTGTTCTGTACCTTCCGGAGCATGATGAAGTTTTAGCTAGATTATAAATTGCGGTCCCCCATAATATTAAGAGTTTTTTTATATCCACGACCTCAGGCCAAAAGCTCTAACCACTTTATTATCAAATTAAGTTCAAGGTTACAACTTTGTCTTCAATTTAATGAGTAGGTAGTCGATATATTGTTTACTGATCTACTTTTATTCAAGTCTCAACTCTCATTAGAATCAACATTTAACCATTTCTTGACGTGAATTGTCACCTTTATAATTTACGCAGTCTAATCTATTCATATTTTCTTCAGTCTTACTTATTATTTTTAGCAAACACAGTCGCTTCCCTATTTGAAGACTTTTTCTACTGAATATCTTTGAATACTTTATCTTTAGACGCCTCAGATCATGTTCAATTAAATGTGAATAAAATAAAGGAATCTTTTCATTTTAGATATTTTAATGCTGATGTTATCCTCAAAACTTTTAAATTGGGGCATCTCAACTAATATTATATTTAACCGATAATTTCTGACATTGCCCCTCCTAGCATTCATTTTTAATAAATTCATTGATGAAGGGGTATTTCCAAACCTAATGAAAAATAATAAATTAATTCTACGTTTAAAATCTGGAGATAAAAGTGACCCTAGTAACTTCAGACCTATCTCTATATTACTTAAGCAACATTTTTGAAAAGATTATTTTCAGTAAGTTATCATCTTGTTTTACCCTTAACAATTTATTTTATTGTAACCAATAGTTTCGTAAAGGGTTTATCCACCATAGACGCTGGAACTACACTTTTGAAACACATTTTTAAGCTTGGGAGGATATGCAAGATAAGATAGGTATATTCTGTGACCTTTCCAAAGCATTTGATTGTATTAGCCACGACACATTATTGAGGAAATTAAGGCATTAGGATGTCTCTTTCAAATCAGTCGGTCATATTATATCATAATTATCTGATAGAAATCAAAAAGTTGTTATTAATAAAACTGAATCCTTTGGTTATGGGCGTGTCTCAGGGATCAATATTCGGGCTTTTATTATTTTTACTATTACAATACTACACAATCATCTTATGTGAAACAGTGCTGTTTACTGACGATACTTCTTTAGTTTTTAAAGTTGACAGAAGGAGCAACTGCCCAGACGAGGTAAATAGTGCTCTTTCAAGAGTTTTACAGTGGTTTTTAATAAATAATATGTCTATGAATTCGAAGAAAAATAAAGTCATTAAATTTTGTAAACCAAATGTAAGGCAGGTTGATCCACCTTTACATATGAATGGCGAAGTAGTATCTCTTGTTGAGAGCGCTCAGTTTTGTGGCAAAACTTTAGATTCTAGATTACAATAGTATACTCATATTGATGCTCTATCAAGTGGACTGAGCTTAGCGGCGTGCGATGTAAAACAAATAAGGCTTCTGACTGATGTTGAAACAGCAAGATTAGTTTCAAAGAATTTCTATACTATAAAAAAGAGCGATTCGGGCCATATACTATTTGAGATCAAGGGATTTCCGTAGGGATAAATTTAAAGAAAATAACATTTTAACATTGGCGGGCCAGTACATTTATGAGAGTATAGTTTATGTACATAAACATTATAGTAGTTTTATTAGGATAAGTGATATTCAAATATTAAAAACAATAAATAAAATATGAACTTGCTGTTCCAACTTTTAAATTACAAAAAACACAAAACTCATTTTTAGCGAAATGTATAGCTTTTTCTAATAAGTTACCACCCATTATTGCGTGGTTGTAGTATATGTTAAAAATACTTTGGTGAGCAAAGGATATTATCGAGTCCAAGATTACTTGAATGATCGAAGTGTCCACTAAAGTAGTACACTTTGCTCATTGAAGTAAGCAAAAGTCCTGTCTGTAAATTTACATGTAACTGTGTACCTATCAATAATTACTGTGTTGGTAGCGACATGATTTTATATAAAGGTTGCGACTTCTGTTAATGATGGTATGTTTCTTGCGTCATTGTTATTGTCAGCTAAAAGAGTTCCTGAATAGAAAATAATAATTGACGATAAAAGACCTTCGAATAAGTAAATTTGAATAAAGTATATTTTCATTTCATTTCTATGGCACCACCATAAGTGCTCAAATTATGAAATTAATTTGCCAGTTTGCTTGTGAAACGAGTTGATATTTTGTAGTAGAACCTTAGATAAACAATTACTCTACTGGTGTTACTGTTTCAATTTATTCTTGAATTATTCAAAGATTCGAATACTCTATTCGGCTCCTAGAATTTCATCAAATCCTGAATATTTTAATTCTTTCAAAGCTAATTATTGTATACTGAAATGTTGGTAATATAGACATTTAAGTACTTCAAAGGCACACTGTACAATTTATTGTTACTAAGAAATTATTTTATATTATTATTTCTAAGAAGAAACATTAACATTATGAGAAGCTTTGGTAAACATCGTTAATTAAATTAAATCAAATTAATTATAGTTGATTTCATGTAAAAGAAGTTTTATGATAATAATTAAGAAAGAGCACGCATAATTTCATTGGTAATAAGATATAGATATTAAATAACAAAATTCAGAAAGATCATTTTGAATTATTTATTTAATGTCCTGAGACCTGGTCAGAGATTATATACACACACTACACTGCATACATATTACATACACATAATGAACGAAATCACACAAACACTCACTATCACACACATACACGCAGCTTTTAGTTATTATTTTTAGAAACTGGATAATTTTCTAACTTCCTATTAGATGGAATAGTTTTTCTTTCGCTTATTGTTATCATTTATTTTCCTCTTTTCAATGCTGTTGAAACAACAATGTATACATTTCAACTGTCCGAAGTATTTTACCATCCGTGGAAGTCTTGCTATCTGTGATTAGGCCTGGTAACCTATAGCACAGGTTTCTATTGCTGAAACCTATTTCAGGCACCAGTTCATCACAAATAGAGCCACAACACTGTAATTGCTAAACAAGACAAACCATGAATGTCTGTTGTGATGAAAAATTAATATATTTTTATGTTTTTATTTATTTTTAAGCATTTAACTGCTAGATGTTTAAATCTAAAGAAAAGTTTTACTAGAAAAAAAATCCGATTTAAACATCGACAGATTTTAACAGCTAGCAGTTAAATGCTTAAAAATAAATAAAAACATAACTATAATTGCTATTTCTTCTTTCAAATGTTTAATACTTGAAAAAGTATTCATTTGATATTGTGGGTTACTTACAATGCGAATAGATAGCGCTGCCTTGCAGCTTAAGGCTAGGAAAATTTCGACGCAGCCATCAGGGCCGTGGTGGCATAATTCGTCAGGCATTTGCTCGGATTGCGAAGGGTGCGGGTTCGAGTCCCGTCCGCTGCCTGGACCGTGTGGATTTTTTTCTAGTAAAACTTTTCTTTAAATATATTTTTATTTGATTTGACATTTACCTGCTGTTCCGGCGTGAACCTAAATATCTCGTTAGACCCCCTGTACCATTTGACAGAGTGCAGCTCAGGATCGTTCTTGTCGTTGACATAATGGCACACCAGGTTCGCTTCCCTGTGCGGGTCGCCGTACCTGGGTACGTCCAGGAACGTGATGTTGTGCGCCGTCGCTATCACTGAAACAATATGAACATGGGTTAGCCGAAGTTCACACAGACAATAATTTTGTGAAGGTAACTCGTGGAAATTTATTTTATACCCATACTCTTGAGAACGAAGCCCAAAAGAAAATTCGAAAAATATAGATATGTATAAAAGTATTAAAAACGTATCTTAAACTCATGAAATATTATTAAAAACGCATCTTAAATCCATTAAAACACTTTTCACCCACTCGCCTGATGTTCTTTGTCGGCCCTACCTAAAATCCCTTCTCAAATGTCCTACTCACAAAACTGACTTTGTATTTGACTCTTTTACAGTACATGCCATGCGCTTATGGAACTCGTTGCCAGCAGAAATCAGAGACGCCCAGACCATTTCTACCTTTAAAAAACGATTGAAGGAACACTACCTTTCTACTTGAATATCTTAAACTTTATTGCTTCTCCTTGTTAGTTTTTATTTATTTTATATTAATATATATTAATTTATTTGTTAATATTGTATATATATATATAAATAAAAACATAACTTATAAATATAAATAATATTATAAATAAAAACATATATATGTCGGTGGATGGCGTCTCGCTCGCTCCTGCGAAAAGTAAAACCTACAACAAATGTCATCAGTCATTGTACCATTGCTTTGTGAAACGTCAAGTTATGACAGTGACAGCTGTCATCACTTGGGAGTGGTCTATGCTAAGGGTAGTATTTAAGGGGGTAACGCTTCATTGGAAGGGGCATTCGGCATTCAGCATTCAGACGTGAGCTGTGATAGTGAACGGACGTTAGCACAGAACTCTCCGCGCTTCACAAAGCAATCCGTTTGTACCTTGGCAATCATAAATGATTTTGTAAAGTAATAAGAAGATTCAAATTAAACGTTAGCTTGGTTACTACACTACAGTTTTATTTTCGGGAAATATCATTGAATAACCAAGATGGCGGATCAAGAAAAACCACGTGGCCAACCGCCTATATTACCGCTCGCCCCCTCCGACATATATATATATATATTGTATGTTTATGTATGTATTGCATATGTATTATGTTATATTTATTCAAGAGCACACACTGACTACCTTTTTCTATGTTCTTTCTTTTCGCGGGCCTGCTGGAAGAAATTTCATTATGAAATAAGCAATGCCCTTGTACATGTCTCTTGTTTTTTTTTCTAATATTTTATTGTGTGTGTACAAAATAAATAAATAAAATAAATAAATAAAACTGCGTCGACACTCTGGCCCCGTCTCACATTCCAGGAACCTCGATACAGGCTGGCGCGGCTGCTTCGACCGCAGAGGCCCTTAAGCGCCGCAAGTATGATTGCCTCAGTGGAGACCTCACATTTGCGGCGTTTGGAGTCGAGACTCAGGGACCCTGGGGATCCGGTGCCCACCATCTTTTCAAAGATATAGCGAAAAGATTGGTGGAGACCACTGGAGACCGCAGAGCTGGCGGCTATTTCGCCCAGCGCATAAGCCTCGCCATTCAGCGGGGAAATGCCGCCAGCGTCCTGGGAACCTTTGCCGACGGGGAAGACTTAGGGCAGCTTTTTTTTAATATTTTTAATTTTTGTCTAGTTTTAGTGTAGTTTTAGTTTTATATCTTAATGTAAATTGTTTCTTTTTAAGTGATTTGTGATATATGTAGTTCTTTTAATTTATAGTATTATTCGATATATCAAATTTAACATTAATAAAATAAAATAGTGTTTTATTTAATGAGTAGTGTTTGTGAAAACATAAGAAAAGAATAAAATAGTGTATGAGTACAAATACACAAAGTAAGCCGAACGAAAGGAAAGCAGTATTGAAAGTGATAACTTGAAATAGAGAAAAAATACCCAATCAGGTTGGAGGTATTAGAAACGACTGGAAATGTTACAGTCTCTCCAGCAACGGTTTCTGTACTGAATATCCGCAGGTTAAATAGCTTTAAGAATGTATTTCTATTGATAGAACACTTAACATAATACTTCACAAGAAGGTTTTTCCTACGTTTAGTACAAGACAAAACTAGGTAAATTTTGGACATTTTTTTGTCAAAATATCACAGTCTTATACGTAATAAGAATTTATCCATTTCCACTTCAGAGGCAGATTACTATGAAAAACAGAGAGGCAGATTACTATGATATTCTCTTTATTTTATGAGCCGTTAGAAATTTCTTCTAATTATTTAAAGGTATTGTTTTCCGGGGCCCATTAGCGTTTATATTCCGACCGAGTCGCAGAGTATAATAAAAAAAGTTATAATTAATTTTCTATCTGTGACAGTCGAAGCCCGGTCTCGTCACACACACTCCGCCCGGATATTCTGTCGCTTCAATTAATTTAATTTTATCTTACTCGTATTCCTCGTTACCCTAGTTATATTTTTTTTTGGAATATTTATGAGGCTTAGATTTTTTTTCACACACCATTTCAATTTATTTATACACACCGTCATTGAAATTATTTATGTTGTTAATTTGTACCATAAAATTCTAATAAATCCAAATATCATCATCATCATCCTATCATTGTCCCCACTGCTGGGGCACAGGCCTTCCCTATGGATAGAATAGGGAGATTGGGCCGTGACCCACCACGCGGGCCCAGTGCGGATTGGCGGGTGTTAACGACTGCAGATGCAGCCGGGACCAACGGCTTAACGTGCTTTCCGAAGCACGGAGTAGCTCGAGATAGTAAATTTTTGGTCACCCATCCGATGACCGGCCACTGCGAAAGTCGCTTAACTTCAACGATCGCAGCCGAACGCGCTAACCACTTGCACCATTGAGCTCTTCAATCCAAATACATTGTACCATAACTTCACTATAGGGTCATCGTAGGAGACACATGAGTTATAGGCACAGCTTGACATTGCAGGCATCAATTGCCACGTAAAAGCTCCGCAGGGTAGAGGATTGGATTCAGGCCGGCAAGGTGACGCAGAACCGAGAGGAGTACACAAAGTTAACGGCCAACCTCCGGTAACGGAGAGGCACCAGAAGAAGAAGGTGAGGATGGCTGGAGCGGAATGTCATCTGCCGCATCATCCATCTTTGCGACTGAACTCTTAATATTATTGAGGGCAATGCACAAAGCTCTAGTACGTCCATGGTTTTTTAGTCTGTGGTAACTTATCCCAGGGTACTCTATGATTCTCTTTGGCCTCCACTTTGTCACAGTGAAAATGTATTGTGATTATAAAATAAAGTTAAATGAATAAATCAACGTTTTATTGAAATCCTGCATTAAGAAAAACACTCTCCAATCGAAGATACTCATTAAATATCAGGTGGGGTGGTGTAATTTATTGCGACTCGTATGAAAAAAAATGTGCCTCCCCGTGAAATTCTTATTCACTGCAAAACCTTGGAACTACCGAATAAGTAGCCACCTGACTGAAACTTCCTCTGTAAAGTGGACACATTCCACCATACCCTACCAATATTAAATACTTGCCCGATTTGTGTTCCGGTAAATACGATTTCCGGAACGAGAACATTGTTTGCCAGTTCGAGCAAACTTTCTAATCAGAACTATGAGCTATGTGTACGAACACATATATGGGTAGTATAGTAGTTGTCGCACTCATATTTAAATGTTGTTGCACAGAGCTTTTTGCGAGTCCTGATTTCGGGCTGTTCTGTGTGCAAATTTCATAATAAAATTGAATTCAAAACAACTAAGTATTCCGTATTCCAGTTTTCCAGTTAGCATTTGACATAGTTGGTGAAATACGTATTGCAAGTCGATTTATACATACTATGAGGTGATTATATTCGAATTTCTAATATGTTAAGAAATTATAAGACAAAACTATGGCTAGGAGATTTTCCGCTAAATATGTGAGATATTAATAATGACATAAAAAGACAAAGAAATTCTAGAAGCATTTGATATGTGGTATTAGCGATGGACGGAATGGATTGGTTGGATGGAAATCCTACCAATATTATAAATGTCAAAGTTTGTATGTTTGTTACCTACTCAATCAAGCAAAAACTACTAAACGGATTCGGATAAAATTTGGTGTGCATATAGTTTATGGCCTAGATTGAGACATAGAGCTACTACATATACATATAACAAGAGCACTGAAATTGGTTACGTTTGTCTATAAATCACAAGGCGAAGGCGAATGTGCTTCGCGATAAAATTATCGCATTTAGGTTAAATCGTAAAAAAGAGGAAGGGAATATAAGATAGACTACAGAAATCAAATTAAAGAGACAGCCCTCATCATTGCGTACAGAGAGGTAAAATATTTTAAGCTGTCGGAAGATTCATAGATTATACCGACAAGAGTATTGCTCTTGAATTGATATAGATTGATTTATATTCATCTTTCCATACACAAGTTCAGATTCCTCTTATCTTTTTCCATAAACTGGAAAGGTAGTCTCGCCTAACGAATCATGACAAAAACCTATGAAGAGATGAACCAGTGAAGTAATAATAATAATAATAAATTTATTTATTTGTCCCAACATTTTTACATAGTTTGAACATAACAATTGTTTTCTTAATGCTTAATAGAAGCAACAATACTACTAAAAACGAAAAATACAATAAAATAGAACTTACAATACACTAGTACCTAAACTACGCCGAGCTTGTAAAATAGGTACTAGAAGAAGAAGTTAACAACATTCTGATTTCTTTAATGGCGACGTAACATAAACCAGTCGGGTAATAGTGTCAAATCACAATAAGCTTGAGCGAAACCACTAAAATACGCTTGTAAAACTGTATTGGCTCTGAACACAAAAACGCCACGTAAAGCAGGAAATGTCTTAACAGGACAATAGACGTAAAACGGGCGGGCCATAAAGGGAAGTTTCACTCGTTTTTTATGCCCGAGAACTTTCTCTATTACAGAATAATGTATTCAACTTAGCAATTCGTTTAGACTCAGCTTAATAAGTTTTTGTATCGTTTGAAAGCCGAAAGAATAATTTGTCTCGGCCTCCCTCCGTAAGTTTGCACCGGTTTGCCCCCCGCATTTCTCAAGTAAT